AAATTGTGTGGAAGTAGTGGTCCAACTAAATATATACTGAAGTATATGTGATTGTGCTAAAGTGGAACTATTGCAAGTATATTTCAGGTACACTTTATATATCTTGCATTTATAGACTGATATTATACAGAAATCATACAATCATTATCAATAGTGACATTAAAACACATTTTAGGCATAATATTAAAAAATGTGTGTGCAATAAAGAAATATGCCAAATAAAGTTGAATTATGATTTTATTACAGTAAGTCTTAAGTGAGATGTCAATAAATATGTTAATGGATTTGAAGTATACTTAGTATGAAATAAATGTATTTGAAATAAATTATGGCATTTTTACTAGTGAAGGATGTGATCTGTGAATGAATTGTGCATCAAAGCAAACCTTTAGTCAAGAGCCTCTGGTGTCTGAATGTGAGCTGAAGCTCGTTCTTTAGCTGCCGGTGACCGATGCTCTCTCTATCAGACGTGTTTGAGCTGATTGTTCATCTGATCTGATGTGTGATGACGCAGGACCAGAAACTGCCTCTTTTTTGTCGCTTCATTTCCTACTTAGGCCATGTTTGACGCTCCCATCTTATTCAGACGGCGGCAAATAGCATAAATTACAGGCCTAATCAATTGAATAATTATGTTTTTATTGCACACATTATGTCTTTTTCTCCCCAAAAGTGGAAGGCCTGTCTTTTTTCTCAAGTTGACAGAATCCATTAAGAGTGGGCTATAGATCATCACATCTGTCTCGGCGTGTTCGTATATATATCGCCCGGCTCGTTTGGAGAATATTGAATCGGTTACACTAAAGTAACCCCCCAGATTTGGCCAAATGTAAAAATCTATTTCTTTCATGCATGCGTGAGGAGCTGTCATCGTGTGCCGTAATGACGGATGGCGGTGGTTCTCTCTCGCGGCGGAGGTCATAAAGAGTCAGACAGACAGACCGACCGATGCACAAAATGGAAAAAGATCCTCTCTAAAATGAACAGGACTCCGTGAGCGATGGCTGCTGTCTCTCGGCTGGCGTGAGTGAAATCTGGAGTCAGAGAGGAGTCAAGATCGTGACCTTTGACCTGCGGCAGGCCCAGTGATTCTTCATCCGTCCTCAAGCAGGTTCCTGGGAGTTTGGAAGTCGTAATTATGATGTGAAAAAATCATGTTTCATTCTTTCTTGTTCATTTACTGACAACCTCAAGAAGCTTTTTAACATTACTGCAACCAGCTTTAGGTGTGTTATTCATGCTTTGTGTGTTTTATCATTCTTACAATGCTACAGAGAACTACTGCTCATTTCACTCCATCAGATGTGAAGAATTGTGATCTACACTGATCAGCTTCCATCATGTGTCTTTATTGACACACACTCCACTCAGAAACTCTCAAAGACAAAACCGTTTGAAACAAAAGGACAAAAAATCAGAAAGGTGAAGAAAGCATCCCATTGATTCAGAAGTTTCCCAGAAAGACTCTCTTTAAACAGGTCTCATGGTAAAGCTGCGGTTTAGTTGTGTACTCTGTGTTAAATGCTCTTCCCACTCCCCCGTCCGAACCCTCTCCATCCAGCCGCTATCTCCTCATCTGTCTGTGTCTCAGGCCTTCAAACTGAGCGCTGGAGCCCCGCTGGGCCCGCCGGACCATCCCCTGACCCACGCGGAGGCGCGATCTCTGGCCTCCCACGCAGTGCTTCGCTTCTATCAGCGGTGTAATCAGTGGACGATGATGGGGATTGTGGCATCGTCTCTCAGTGGGACTGTTATGACTCTATAAACGGAGCAGAGTTTGATTGAACACACTTTACAGCTCTGGATGGTGTGAAGGAGTTTGGGTGCAGTTACTGACTTTACTTGATGTTGAAGGAAAACTGCTTGTTTACTGAGAAATAAATTCAGTTGCCATTGGAGGATTTCTCAAAGCACTAGGCAGATTTTCAGCAGCACATAAAGTGAACATGATATTTATGGCACGTGTCCTAACAGTAATCTGAGTAGCGCATAAAAACATATGTACATAAAAGAGAGCTCGGACCCCTTGTTAGTCTGTTGCGTGCAACTTACACAACACTTTCTTTATTCTCCACAGACAAAGGGACAAAAAAAGAAGTACAGGGTAATGTCATGTGTCTGACTCATCCTGTACACCTGGCATTGACATGCGCTTTTGTGCTCAGCGGTAAATACAGGTGTAAACAGGGTCTGAAACGTTTGGTGATCGGATCACTGAAAGCACATATGGAGGTGGTCAGAAACACATGAACACACCGTGTGTGTAAAGCCCAAGTTTGCTTCGGCCCGTACTTCATTTCCCACATTCTGCTCTGTTTAGTGCACAATTGAGAACGCAAGCTTTTAACGTACACTCTACTGACTGTGAGCACGGACGGAAAAACCTGCCGACATGTTCCTGGATCAACATTATTGTCCAAAACATAGACCTAACCCTATCCATAATGTATCCCTAAAATCAGAAGGAAATGATAGTTGAATAACAAGGGCATAGAAGCACCTAACTCTGGTTGTTAGGCTAAAACGCACATTTCCTGTAAACTTATCCCTCAATTACGATTGGTTGCTTGGAATGTTGATCCAGGAACATTTTGCACTTGCTGAAATCACGTTCACCGAAGAATAGTCTCTGTGTAGAGTTTGAACACAGGCACTCGACACATGCACACTAGAAAGTTTTGTCCTTGTCTAGTGTCTACTGCTCTTCAAAGTTATGAGCAATGAAAAATGTATACTTAACTGTGCATCTCTTAACCCCTCACACAAGCGCTCATTAGTGCTATTGCTGTCTTCAGTAGCAGCACTTACTATTTAGTGAAAAAATGCAAGGTGCAAATGCGAGCTGCGCCTCCGGGGCACATGTGCTTACGAGTGAACAGTGTGCACATACTGTTGATGAACTCTGCATCATGCACACTGTACGCAAACCCTAGCGTACTGTAAAAACTGGAGTATACTTTGGGTTAAACGCTCATCTGTCCTGAATGAATCCCGGACTTCAGGGAAGCTCTGTCTACTCACCGACACGTGATCATGTGAGAAACTGCAACAAAACTTAGCATTCAAACTTCACTGTAATGAGCACATTATTTACTACATTAGTAATGGTTGCTGCTCATTCACAAGCTGTGTAACATGGCTTCGTTTGTTCAGTAATGTTCACCGCTCCTGTGAATGTAGTGATGTAGAGTGTGCTGACAGATGACGCATTTGCAATGCATGTTAGTAGGTGGAAATGTCATTAATCATTGGCGTTACATTTTGTTGTGTCCAGTGCTTTGACAGATTAAATGTGTTTTGAGCCTCTGACAGTGTAAACCAGTACTTCTTCAGGTTTGTTTGATAAAGGAGACCTGCACAGGACAGGTTTGAGAAGCACTGATCTAAACCATTATGATCTGAATGAAATCACAGCTTCACCTTATATTTAGATTTCAAAGCATATTTATGTATGTAAAACTTTTTTGTAAGAAGAGTAAATATAAAAGCATTGCTGAATATTACAGGACAAAGTAACTGGTTACACTATGAGTCTGAAGAAATAACCTTCAGAAGCTCAATGGCTGTCTAAAATCACCCTTACATTTGAAGGGATAGCCACTGTAGTGGTGTCCCAAACCATATGAAGCGCACTCACTCACTCCCATAATGCATCTCAGTGATGAGCGTACAGCCTTCCTGGTGTAAAGGGTGATTTAATCCACTCAGAAAACAGAGCTCTCAACATGTGAAAAATATAAACGTGTAAAAAGAGAGTTCATCAGGAAAGTCCTTGTGCTCTTGTGCTTTAGCAATGGTTTCCAACATGGCACACTGTGTACGCATGTCTCCCGAATGAAGAGCACCTGACATGTCCCAAATGTGCGGATCAGAAACCAAAACACTGATTAGAATCAAGAATAATCTAGAACTGTTTGCAGTCTCCTGAGAAGCATAGGGCCCTTCTGGATCCCTCGTTCTGGGTTAATGGTTAAATTAAACTGTAGTCATCAAAAATATGACTAATTAATCATGAAACGTATACAATCTAACAACAATTCATAAAAAGTGTAACATAAATTAGACTGGAGTGTATACTTCTGTTCTTCTCTGGATCTGTGCGCTCAGCAGATCTCCTCGCTGCTCCATCTGTCTGAATGTTGTGTGTGTGTGTGTGTGTGTGTGTGTGTGTGTGTGTGTGTGTGTGTGTGTGTGTGTGTGTGAATGCTGCTGATTCAGCTTGAGCTCCAGCTGATGTCCGGCTCCGGTGAGAACACACGCAAGTCAAGGCTGGGCCGCTGGGTTTTCATCATGGCAAAAACACTCAAATCATGTAGCTATGAAGTGGGCTATATAAATGCAACTTGTATTGGAGATCTATTAGAAGTTTTGGAAAGAGAATCGTATGTAAATGTCCCATAACAGCAAAGCGGAGGAGAATGCCGGCGCCTCGCGGTAAATCACGCCGAAACAAGGTGAGAACTCTGGAAATTGAATAGTGAGGAGGTGCGTTTTGATTTATTGTAAATGCAAGAAAGATGCACAGGTGCAAAACAGCAGAACTACAGGCAAAAGCGAGTCTAGCGCTGAGAGCGTTCTGTGGCACAGAGGTCTGGGATACGGAGAACTCTTCTCACTGATCACTATTACTGTTACACGAGGAAAACACGACTGAACTTTGCTGTAATAGATCTATTATTGTAACTCGTATGTGTATGAGAAAGCGCAGCACAATAATGAGAAAGGCCTCCATCTAGTGTTCATCATGAGGAGCTGCAGCTGCAACGAATTCATTCAGAGTCAATCCATTCAGCAGACAAACACAAAGAGGCACTAATAGATCTAAACCAGGGCTGTCCAAACTCGGTCCAGAAGGGCTGGTGTCCTGCAGAGTTTAGCTCCAACTTGCCTCAACACACCTGACTGGAAGTTTCTATGCCTAGTAAGAGCTTGATTAGCTGGTTCAGGTGTGTTTAATTAGGGTTGGAGCTAAACTCTGCAGGACACCGGCCCTCCAGGACCGAGTTTGGACAGCCCTGATCTAAACGAAACTTGTTTATTACTAAAAACCACCAGTAAATAGTCGGACAGAGACTGCCGTCATCAGTGACCAGACGAGATCATTAGTGTGAAACCTGGGTGATAAAAGCTTTATCAAAGAGTCTTTCTTTCTCAATGTATTGAAGTTTATTTGTCATTGTACCTATTCTTGTTTATTTTTCTAATATGCTTTAATTTCATTTGTTAGTCCTGTCTATTTTTCCTTCATTAGCTACCCATTGGTCTGTATACGCCCTTTGTTAATTAGCTAATCACTGCAGCCATGTACTAATGGGTCCTGATTTAATGCCTGCTGATGCACAACAGACAGAGACTCTGAGTTTGCCTCATGTTTGTATGGTGTGTGCGCGTATACATGAGCAATGTAAGTTTGGTGTCTTTGTTTATATTGTGTGCCTTTGATGTTGTAATTGGTATGGTTCATTTGATTGAATCTGTTATATTTTTGTTCTTGTTTTAGAGACCACACACATACCCTGATCCTCTGTGCTCTGCCTTCTAAACAGAAAAATAAAGTGGTCATATGGCATCGTATCACTGGACTCTGTGTTCTTGCAGACACTCCTGCTGGACTCAAGACAGACATTCCCTAAATCCTAGTACCTAAACTCCTTTACAAAAGCTTCTCTACAAATACATACTGTATTTGAGCATCACATCAATAGAAAACCCGGTGGCCTGGCAGCTGATTTGGCCCGCTATTTTAATATTATTGTATAATTGCCTGCCGAATGTACTAAAGCGATTATTTCCAAATTCGCCATTCAGTAATTAAATCTCTAATAAATCATGAATGGGTTAGTCGTGATTGGCAATGCTTCGGCTCTCCTCCAAACGGTTTGGATCAGATCAGAGTGATCAATGCGAGAGAGAGAATGGAGTGGACTGTGGAAGCGCACAGATGGAGCAGAGAAGCAAATCTACTGTTCAGGGTTTCAAGAGCAGGTCAGTTTCATCTGTAAATATGCTATTGTAGTTTTGTCTTTGTTTACTTAGTTAAGCAGCAGCAGCCCATTGCTCATCAGTCATCACTCAAAATACTGTATAAAGGACATCATTATTATCTATTGTAATGTTACAGTAGTAATTTAGCAGACAAATAATCATATTTTATAATAGGTTTAGGGGGAGCTAGGGCAGACAACAACACAACCCTTACGAAAATTAACAATGATTTTACTATAAATCCAAAGACAATGGTTACTATTGTTAAATAATGGTAACCACAAATTAACCATGGTTTTTGCTACAATAACCATAGTTTAACCATGGAATTTGTAGTAAAAATAAATACAAATGGTAATCCAT